GGACCGTTATGCCTGGACACTGGCAGGGGCTTGCTCCCTGCCTCCCGAGGAGCCCTGCTTTGGCTCCCCACCCAAATTACATTCCTGGGGGGCGGTGCCAGAGTCATGATGTCTTCACATCCTGTTTAGTGCAGCGAGAATAGTGCTGTCAGCTTTGTCTAGTGGTATGGTGAACTGGTTATAAGAGAGCAGCTAAGGCCGGGCACGGCGGCTCACGCCTGTACTCCTAGCACTCTGGGAGGCCGGGGCGGGAAGATCCCTTGAGCTCAGGAGTTTGAGACCAGCCTGAGCAAGACTGAGACCCTGTCTCTACTATAAATGGAAATAAAATTAGCCAAACAACTAAAAATAGAAAAAATTAGTTGGGCATGGTGGTGTGTGCCTGTAGTCCCAGCTACTCGGGAGGCTGAAGCAGGAGGATCGCTTGAGCCCAAGAGTTTGAGGTTGCTGTGAGCTAGGCTGATGCCATGGCACTCTAGCCTGGGTGACAGAGTGTGCCTCTATCTAAAAAAAAAGAATAGCTAAATGTTAAATTTCTCCCAAATGACTGTCTCTTGTATATTTGCTCCTCTAGTTATCTCATCTGCATAGCTCCATCAGAAAATGTTCCGGAAATTTGAGCACCCTCAGACCCCTGCCACAATGCAGTGACACTCCAGGGTGGCCTCCCGTGCTTGCTGGGCGGGCTCTGACCTCCAGTCTCTTTCCCTACCAGAGAACACACCCCTGAGACCTGGTGAGCCTTGTTTATGCTCTGTATGACTTGCAAGGACACAGGGAAGCCCCTCTGTGTCCCCCCTTCTCGCCTAACTCACCGGTAACACCTGAGATCTGTCCCCACAGTGTGCCGGGCCCCAGCAGGAGCCCCTCGTCCCTGGCCTGGCCGCACAGCCCTGGCTTGGTCACTGTGATGCTCACCAGGGCTCCCTTCATTCCCCTGCCATGTGCAGGTGTTTCCCAAAATTGTCCTCATTGTGATGATCTGCACCCAGTAAAATCCTAACATTTTCTGTTCTTCCAATTTTTCATAGAAAATGGCTCCCCAGTGCCTCACCTGGCTGCAGCCCAGCACCTCCGTGTCCCCTGTGTGGGTTCCGGGGTTCACTCCCTCCACGGCCCCTTCCAAGGCCTGTGGACACATGCAGGTCCCTCCTCTCCCCTCAACCTAGAAGGTGCAGACTCGCTGACAGCTGCTTACCCACGTATGGGCGATGATTCTTTGTTACAACTTTATCTGATGGTCAGCTGTGAGTTCTCATCCACCGGGACAGTCCGTAGATTTCTGGAAGCGATGACAGCCACACAGCTGTCCAAAGCACAGAGCTTGTCTGGTGAGTCTTCGCCTCTTGTGCTTTCTGGACAACTGCACACAAGTCTGTCACAGAACGGCCGCACTCCTTCAGCCGGACAGCCCCGGTGAGCCTGGTGTCCACATGCACATCTGGAGCGCCCATCTCCTTCGGGGCAGATTCCCGGGTCTCTGAGCGCCTGCCCAGGGGGCTCGAGTCTCAACCCCGCTGCCTGGATGCGCTGTTCCCCGGTCTCCACCCTGCTCTGCCAGGCCAGGTTGGGAGGGAAGAGCTTGAGGGACTCTGCCGGTTATTCTTGGCTAACCTGGTTCTCCCACACTCAGGGTGACCAGCGGGCACCTGTTCCTTCCCTTGCTTTCTGAGCTCTCTGTTCTCATCTGTTCAAGATCCCCTGAACAATCTAACGGCGGGGCCTTCCCCTGGCCAGTTTGGCTGGGACATGATTCACCCCCTGTATTTCCTGGACATATCGTCTGCCAGAGATGCTTCACTAGCGCTCATCATTTTCACTGGCGCCATTCTTTCCCAGGGGTACAGCCTTTAAGCAGAGTCCCAGCTAACTGGTGGGGCCCCGTGCCCACTGCTCCTAAGCCTTTGCCTCTTGCAGCTCTGCTCTTGCCGGGGCCCAAGGCTGTCACCTCGCCCGAGTACCATGATGTCTGTCCTCTGTCCACGTCCCACAGCCCCGCACCTGGCTCCACCCCAACAATTGCTGGCACGTGCCCAAGTGGGCCTGTTACTCCCTCCTGAGTCAAGATGTCCAGTCATCCTGCAACGCCTGCCACCTCTGCCTCCCAGAAGGGTCCCCTCCTCACAAGCCCAGGGGTCACTGTCCTCATTGTGGTTACAATGAGAAGGTGCCGGGGCCTCCCCAGCTTCCTGATCTGTCTGGGTTCACTGCGGATTCCTGCAGCAGCCGGCACACCCCTCACTGTCTTCAGCAGCCCTGTGCAGAACACTTGGGGACAGAACTGCACCATATCCAGCACGACAGCCACAAGCCATGTGTGGTCACTGAGCCCTCAGCATGTGGCCAGTGTGGCTTAATTTCATTTCATTTATTTTTTTGAGACAGAGAAATTTTTTTTAAGACAGACAAACTTTATATATTTTCAGACACAGTCTGGCTTTGTTGCCCGGGCTAGAGTGCCATGGTGTCAGCCTAGCTCACAACCACCTCAAACTCCTGGACTCAAGCGATCCTCCTGCCTCAGCTTCCCGAGTAGCTGGGACTACAGGCATGCGCCACCATGCCCGGCTAATATTTTTTCTATATATATTAGTTGGCCAATTAATTTCTATTTATAGTAGAGACGGGCTCTCGCTCTTGCTCAGGCTGGTTTCGAACTCCTGACCTCAAGCAATCCGCCCACCTCGGCCTCCCAGAGAGCTAGGATTATAGGCGTGAGCCACCGCGCCAGGCTGATTTCATTTACTTTAAATGATCACATATGCCTCAGAGCTCCATGTTGCAAATTAAGTCTTTACACAAAATTTCATTTTATTTTATTTTAACATTATGTATTGCTTTTAAATTTTAACTTCGAAATACTATTCCTTTCACCGAATGTCCAGGGTCTGAGCCCTCAGACCTGGTCAAGGTTCCCTCCAGCCATCCAGCAGGGAAGTAACTGACCCGAGGGCACCTTTGCAACTGTACTTGCTCCAGGGTCTCACAGTGGCCAGCACCTGTACAAGGTGTGGTCACAGGGAGGCCCTGAGCCTCCAGCTGGAGCACTTCCTTTGCTTTCTTTTTTATCTTGTCAACTTTGATGCTTGAAAAGGTGCACTTCCTATGGTGGGAGGACTGCGGAGCCTCACCCCTGCAGTGTGAGAGGTGCGGGTGGGCGCCACACCCCGAGTCACCAGCAGAGAGCAGAAAGGTAACAGCCCACGTGAACCGTGCAGACCGCCCGCTGACTGGGCCCTGGCAGCGCGTCGCTCGCCCTCAGACCCGCGGGCATGACGACTGGCCAGGTGTCTGGGGCGACGCCAGGACACGTGCACCCAGCTATGGCTCCGCCCCCAGCGGGCTGGCCGGGTCTTCCACCTCTGCCTGCGCCCCTCCCTCCCCGTAGGAGGCCTTCGCCTGCTCCAGTCCGGTCCGGTCCGGTCTGCCTTCACTTCCGCAGCAGCAAAGAGCCCACACGGGGGGCCCTTTCAGGGGTGGCCCCCAGCGCGAGCTTCGCCTGCAAGGGTCCCAGGGCTGAGCCCTCCCCGCGCCCTCCGCCCCTCCCGCGCCCACCGACCTCCCCACCTGCACCCCGCGTCCACAGAGCTCTCGCCCCCGCGTCCCTTCCCCGTGCCCCCGCCCTGCTGCCCCAGCGGGAGGAAGGCCGGGCGGCGGCAGGACCCGCCGGGTCTTCCGGCGAAGGGCCGCAGCCTCGGCTCCGCCCTGGGCGGCCGTAAGGAGAGACGTGCCGGACGCCCAGACGGACGCAAGGCGGCGCCCAGAGCGCCCCGGCCCCGGAGCCGCCGCCGCCGGGGGAGGGGAGGGCGAAGGAGAGAAGGGCGCGGTGGGGGGGACAGAGCCAGGGGGGGAGAGGGGCGGGGTGGGGGCGGGGCGCGGACCCGAGGGGAGGGGCCAGCCTAGTGAGCGTGGGGACCGCTGGTGTGGCCGCGCGGCCGTGGCCTGGGTTCTCCTGGACGTGGGGGGCCCCGCGCTGCCGGCGGGAAGTGGGACCGCGCGGGCAGCGAGGGGACTGGTCCCCCCTTCTTAAAGGGGGAGGAGTGTCCGGGAGGGGTGGGGCCGCCCCTGGGCCCTCCGGCGCGCAGTGGCGCGGACTAATCGCGGCGGAGCGCGCTGTGCCTGGGCGCGGGCCTCGGCCCCGGAGGAGCCGGTGTCGGTGGGGGGGGGGAGTTTGACTTTGGACGTCTGCGTTGGGGCGGGGGCTGCCGGGGGCTCGGGGTGGGTGTCTGGACCTAAGAGCGCGGAACCCCCGCGGGGACGTCCCCGGGGACGCAGCTGTGCCATCCGGGCGGGGGGCCGCGGCCAGCGCGCGAAGCCAGCGTCGGGTCCCCGCGCTCGGAGCGGGAGGCGGCGGGCGACACGCCGGCCTCGTAGGGGCCTGAGTCTCCGGGGGTGGGGGTGGCCCTGCAGCCTCGGCGTGAGCGGCCTCTCGGGGAGGGGGCCCAGGCCGCTGGAGGGGAGGCTGAGCCTGGCAGCGCCGGTGGCGAACGCGGAGGGGTCGCTCCTGGGCCGCCCGGGAGCCTGGGGGGGGGGCGGGGGCTGTCTGACCCTACAGCCAACGTGGGGCGGAGACCAAGGTTCCCCGGGGCCCCTGAAAGATTAGAAATGAAGAAATACTAAAACTAGGTTTTAAGGGGTGTGGTATGTCAATGGTTACGTTTCATAAATTAACGCTTTGGAGCACACGACGGTCATACTTCCTACAGATGTTCCTCTTTATTTAAGAGACTCTGCCCGGGCGGGCGGGGTGGCTCACGCCTGTCATCCCAGCACTCTGGGAGGATCGCTTAAGGTCAGGAGTTCGAAACTAGCAAGAGCGAGACCTCGTCTCTACTAAAAATAGAAATAAATTAATTGGCCAACTAAATATATATAGAGAAAAAATTAGCCGGGCATGGTGGCGCATGCCTGTAGTCCCAGCTACTCGGGAGGCTGAGGCAGGAGGATCGCTTGAGCCCAGGAGTTTGAGGTTGCTGTGAGCTAGGCTGACACCATGGCAGTCACTCTACCCTGGGCAACAGAGTGAGACTCTGTTTCAAAAAAGAAAAAAAAAAAGGGGACTCTCCCTGGCCTTGTACCTGCAAGGCAGCAGTTACCGGCGGTGGCTTGCGGGGTGGGGGGTGCCCTCCCTCACGGCTCGGTCCCGGTAGCAGGACAGTCCCCTCCAGCGCCACACCGGGCTCTCTCTGCGCACTTGAGGACGCTGCAGCTCTTAGGAGCACCGCGGGACCCGCCGCAGGGTCCACTTCCCCTCCCCAGAGAACCAAGATGACCAGCTCTGGAAGGGGTTGTGCCTCGGGACATGAGGGACAGGTGGCCTCAGCCGGCCCCCCAGCCCTCCTGGCCTCACCCCCAGAGGCCACGTCCAGAGCCCTGGCGCCCGCTCCCCGCCAGCCTCACCCCGCAGGGACCTAACTGGGCCGGTGTAGAGTCCGAGACAGACCCGGGTCAGCGGCGGTGCGGCCCTTCCCCGACCCCTCACCTGGGCCCGCGGGTCTCGCCGGCTCCCACCTCCCGGGCGCCTCCTTCCTCCGCTGTCCCAGCCCCGGAGGGTCGGAAGGCGGAGCTGGGCGTTAATCCTGGGGCCGGGCCCGCGGGCCTTTGATCTCTGCCGGGCGGGGTGAGTGCGGAGGCGCCGTCGGAACCCGGCCGGGCTGGCGCCGGCGCCCCGGGGGTCCCGGCTGCAGACTCTACCCCGTCTGCACAGCGGCCCCGCGTGGTCTGAGGGGCGCCCAGGGCCCCGCCGGGTGGGCGCGGCACGTGCCCGTCTGTCCCCGTGCTGGGCCCGCCTGGCTGCGTCCACCCCAGAGCACGGGGACCCAGGGCGCCCCAAGACTTAGCCCCCGAGGCCAGCGCGGCATCCGGAACGCGGACGCAGAGCCCGGAGGGAGGTGGCTGCGGTGTCAGGATGCGCACTCGGAGCGTCCCGGCGGCGGCGATGCGCAAGACCGGGACCCCACGAAGCAGGGTGGCACCCTGTCTTCCCGCTTGGATGCCCTGGGCAAGCAGCCCCCTCCAGGGCGGGCCCCTCGGCCCGAGTGCGGAGGCCGTTCCTGTGGCAGCACGGTGACCCTCCCCCAGGAGCCCGACCAGGGCTGCAGCGGCCAGCCCACCGGGAGGGGTCCAGGGAGCAGGACACCGCGTTGCTGTCTGGCTCCTGGCAGTCCCCTTCCGGGACGCTTGCCCCGTCTCTGCCCGGCCGGGGCGCTGTCCACCCCCGCTCTGCTCTCCCTCAGGCGGACACACCTGTCCCCTCCAGGGTAGGCCCCAGAAACACCCTCAGAGGAGAGATGGCCCCCACCCTCCAGACGACCCCAGGTGGAAGCCCGCTGGGGGATGGGGGCCGGGGGCCGGCGGTAACAGTCCCGAGTCAACATATCTCAATTAACCTGCAGACCACAGCCCCACCCCTCCCCAGACATCTAGGAGCCCGCGAGGTGTGAACCGCCTCCTTTGTGCCTCTGAATTGAAGGCAATTAGGCGCTACTTATCTGGGGGATTCACTGGCGTCAGTGCAAACCCGGCTCGGGCTCCCTCCTTGGCTTATAAATGCAGCTCGCCCTGCTCCGCCTGAGGGGAATCCTGCCCGCCAGCCACACCCGGCTGTGGCCCCGCGGCTGGACCACCATGCGTCCCTCCACTGCCCGGCCCCTCCGCCCAGAGCCCCCCTCCAGCTTTGGCTCAGTGGACTGGCTCTCCCAGAGCAGCTGCACCAGGCCTGCGGCAGCCTCCTCCTGCAAGGGCTCCTCCCGCCCGGGCCAGGCGGCCAGCACCGGGGAGGCCCCTCAGACCACCGGCTTGAAGGGGGCCAAGTCCTTGGATCTGACTGTGCGGGAGATGCCTGCGGCCGGTAGGTCTGGATAGGGGTCCCTTCCTTCCTGGGCAGGGATGGGAGTTGAGGGTCCAGGAGCCAGGAAGGCGGCACATAGCCCTGCCCTGTCCCTGTGCACGAGTAGGGGCTGGGGTGGGGGGTGTTCTTACAAGGGCTGGGCTGGAGGTCTGGCTGCCCCCACCCCGCCCCCGTGGGAGGAGGCAGAGCCAGCTCCAGGCACTCACTGTAGCTCTTTGCAGACGTGAGCACGGAGTCCCCTGACCCTGGGGACACAGTTCCAGGGGTCCTTGTTCTTCCCAACAAAGTGCCGGGTGCCTGGTTCAGCTGCCCTGCCCCTTTATTTATTATTTATTTAATTTGTTCAGGTCCCTGTCCCTCTGGGGTCCTTTATTTGCTTTCTTAAAGCCCTGCAGGTCTGGTCATGGGGCATTGTCACCCCTGGCATCCCTTGCGTGAGGGTCTGTCGTTGCTACGGGGATGTGGTCTCCAGGACTCTGAGTTTTATCTAACCCTGTGTCGTTTGCTGATGAGACGCAATCATTACTTTTGTTTTTTTTTTTTTTGGAGACAGAGTCTCGCTTTCTTGCCCGGGCTAGAGTGCCATGGGGTCAGCCTAGCTCACAGCAACCTCAAACTCCTGTGCTCAGGTGATCCTCCTGCCTCAGCCTCCCGAGTAGCTGGGACTACAGGCATGAGCCACCATGCCCAGCTAATTTTTTCTATATATTTTTAGTTGGACATTTAATTTCTTTCTATTTTTAGTAGAGACGGGGTCTCTCTCTTGCTCAGGCTGGTTTCAAACTCCTGACCTTGAGTGATCCGCCCACCTTGGCCTCCCAGAGTGCTAGGATTACATGCCTCATGAGCCACCTCGCCTGGCCTATGGTTGCTTTTAGATTTGAAGTACTACTTGGTCAAAAGTGTGTTTGATATTATCCATAGGTTTTCTGTTTAAAAACTCTGACTAGTCCTTATGGCATAGTTTTACAGTTCACTTTGCAAAATGTTAAATTTATTCTCCCCCGATCAAAAAAGGCATCTAACCCTGCCCACACCACAGTCTCTCCTCCTTCCTCCCCGCCGGTGACCTGCATTCTGTCGGCTGCGTGCTTCAGGCTCATGTTGGCAGGTTTGGCAAACTCTGCTTCCTTCCATCCAAAAAACCTGACGGCCTTTCAGTAGGACTTGCAGTAAATGTCACCCACTTGGCTGGTGGCCGGTGCTCACCATGGCGGCCCCTTCTCAGGACTGAGACCACCTGGTGGGGCTTAGCAGAGACACGTGGGGCTGCAGCCGCAGGCTCCTGGGGTCCCTGTCGGCCTTCTTGGCCCACCCCTCCCCCATCTCACCTGGGGAATCTCTAGCTCCTTGTCTGCAGGCAAAGGAAACTGCTTCCTGGGAAGGACCGGATGGGACACTGGACGGGGCAGAGGGTGGCCCGTGGAATTGTCCAAGCTAGGGTCACCTGAGCCTGGCTCTGCAGAGGGGGAAGAGCAGCCCAGGGCCTCCTGGCACCTCCCAGGCAGGGTAGGGTGTCCCACCTGGCACTTTAGCCAAATAGACCCAGCACTTCCTCCCTCCTCAGGGCTGAGCAAGGCGCCCGAGCCCTGGCGGGGCCCACGCGTGCGCACAGCCTTCTCCACGGAGCAGCTGCGTGCCCTGGAGGGCGTCTTCCGGCACCACCAGTACCTGGGCCCCCTGGAGCGGAAGAAGCTGGCCAGGGAGATGCGGCTCTCGGAGGTGCAGGTGAGGCTGAGGCCAGCTGGGCTGGGCCGTGCCGGGGTGGGCGTCTAGGCCCCTCCCTGCTCTGACCTTTTTTTTTTTCCACAGATAAAAACCTGGTTTCAGAATCGCCGCATGAAACACAAACGCCAGATGCAGGACTCCCAGCTGGCCATCCCCTTCTCTGGGCCTCTGCCCTCGAGGCCGGCTCTCTGCGCCCTCTTCCACCCGGAGCAGTGGCCTGCAGCCGCCGTGCCCGTGGGCGCCCCTGCGGGGGCCCAGGCCCTGGTGCTGCCCCCGGGCTCCTGCTGGGGCCTCTGCCAAGCGGAGCAGGACCCCCTGGCCCTGGCATGGGCCTCGTGGTGCCGGCAGCCCCTGATGTGCCGTGTCCCAGGCCCCGGAAGCCACACTCGTGCGCTGGGCCCTGCCTTGTCCACAGGACCCTGGGGCCTGCGTGCTCTGCCGGAAACCGGGGACGCCTTCTGAGGACGCAGGTCGGGCTCTGGGAGACCCACGCGAGCGGCATGTGCAGACGTGCCTGGGGGAACGGCTGTGTTCCTGCTTGTCACCGTGGCCCTGTCTGCAGCCGGTGGCACTTCTCCCCGTGGCCTGCCACAGTATCCTGGAGAATTTATAGTTGGAGAGGTTTTCAAGCCACCCCTGCCCTGACAGTTACTGAAAGGACACGTTTTGGGAGTTAGGGAGTAACTGACAGGCAGAGTCAGAAGCCGGACGTGGGCTTGCTGCACGCAGAGCTTTCAGAGCGTGATAAAAAGGGGTGATTTATTCCATAAAAGCTGCGTGTGCTCATTTTGCCCACTGAAAAACCGAAACACCGTTGGACCCCTAATTCCAGGGCGTGCCTGAGCTGGGTCGCGTGCCCCCTGTGTTTCCCGCGGCTGCTCTTCCCCTTCTGTGACGTGGGCGCCCAGGACCTGCAGCTCCAGGGACCCAGGCCAGGTCCCCGGCCCGGCGTGCACTTGCCTGCAGGACGTGGCGGCCAGGGAGCCCCTCAGGCAGGGCCCGGGGGTCTTCTCCCCACTGGCGGCGACATGCAGACTTCTGACAATGTGCACCGAAACATTAACTGAGCACAGAAACGTCAACCGAGCAAACATCTGTCCTCAGCGTGCGAGGGTGCCTGCGCTCAGGAGCGAGGTTGTGCTACGTGCCCGCCAGGTACACGCGTGCCTGGGTGTCCCACGGAGGACAGGTGGCGTTCAGCTGCCAGAAGGCCGAGGGTGACCTGTGGACACGGACCCGGGCACCCTGACAAGAACAGGAGTGCGACCTCTTCATGTGTTGTCATGGCAATACTTACAGCAGGTGACCGCCACCAGCCTGGCAGGCTGAGACTCCCCCTTCCTCACTGTCACCTCCGAGTTACTGGAAGGGTTTTTATAATAAAATCTCAGATGAGGGCCGGGCGTGGTGGCTCATGCCTGTAATCCTGAGTCTCTGGGAGGCCAAGGCAGGAGGACTGCTTGAGCTCAGGAGTTCAAGACCAGCCTGAGCAAGAGCGAGACCCGTCTCTACTATAAATAGAAAGAAATTAGCCAGGCACAGTAGTGTCCCAGCTACTCGGGAGGCTGAGGCAGGAGGATCGCTTGAGCCCAGGAGTTGGAGGTTGCTGTGAGCCTGGGAAACATAGTGAGACTCTGTCTCAAAAACAAAAATAATCTCGGATAAGGATGAATGAGCCACTGTGCCTGGGGTCTGGACGGGCCTTCCGAGGTGGTAGGGGCACAGCCTGGGTGTCAGATGTGGTGGGGGAGCTCTTTGAAGTGAAACCACACATGCCCCGGGCCACGGAAGCCACTCGGCCTTCATCCCTAGGCTCCTCCGGAGCATGGACTCCAGGTTGGGGGCGTGTCGAGGTCCAGCCAGGTCAGGACAGCTGCAGGGGTCCCCTCCTGCAGATGAGGGCTTCTGGGGACAGCACAGAAAGTTCCGGGTGGCTGCGCAAGGGAGCGGGCCTAGTTCCTGCATCACTGGGTCGCCAGGAAGGGCTCTGGCGGGTCCAGCCTCACGCTGGCCTCCCACTGAGCCTGTGTGCGTCTGCGCAGGCCACAGGCTGGCGTCTGGGAAGACCAGGGGCAGCAGCACCAGTGACACCGGCCGCTCACTCCACCCCCACGGCCTTTTTCTTCTCATGGGTGCAGTGTCCACCCCGCTGGCCTCTGCCCGGCCACAGCCTGTCCTCCCGTCTCAGTCTCTGCGCCTTCCTGTGCTCCACCTGGTCCTCTCCGCGGCCCGGGCTGGGCCCCAGGTCCCCTCTCTGCTCCAGGGTGTCCTCAGCTGCCCCCACGTGCTCTGGGCCCACTGGAGCCCCAGCCCCACCGTGCTCAGGGTCCCCTCGTGGGTGTCTGCGGGCCCCAAGGGCCCCGACAGAGCTCCATCCTCACTCCCGCCACCCCGGGCAGCCTCGATGCCACCGTGCCCTGTGTCCCCGCTTTGTGAGCAGGGGGGCCAGGAGGAACAGAGACCCTGCACCCATGGGGGCTCGGGTGGTGGGTGTGGGGCAGGTGGGGGTTCACTGTGTGGCAGGGCGACGCCCACAAGCGACAGGATGAGGTGGTGGTTTAGGGGTGTCTGTTGGGAGAACCTGGGTCAGAGCTGAGGGGGAGGGGAGGGGTGGGGGTGGGGTGGGGGTGGAGGGGCGAGGTCAAAGCAGAGCCGGCCTCTGGGAGGAGAGGGCCTCCCCCTCTGGGGAGGAGAGGGCCTCCCCACGCCCCTGAGGCCTGGGTGATAATCCTCCTGCTACGGCTGCATGTGCACAGCATGTGTGAGAGCCGTGTGCTCTCTGTGGTGTGTGTGTATCTGTTGTGGCGTGTCCTGTGTGTGTGTTGTGTGTATCTGAGTATTGCATGTGTGTGGCTTGTGTGTTGTGCGTAGTGTGTGTGGACATCTCGTGCACCTGAGTGCTGTGCATGGGTCTTGTGTGATGTATGTTCTGTGTGTGTATCATGTGTGGTGTGTGTGTCACATGTGTACCAAGCGCTGACATGTCCATTGTGAGCCCGGAGCTGTGGCCCTGGCCACAGGGGCATCCAGCCCCACCAGCCCCGCCCAGGCCAGGCCACTGGCGCTGAGCGGGAAGGGGGGTGGGTGGGCTTGCTGAACAATGGCAGCCCCAGCCCCTCCCTAAGGGCGTTGGGAGTGGCCCTGCACCCTCCCCACCTAAGCAATCCTTAACCGGCCTCAGAGAATGTGAAGCTTCTCCAGATACTTCTGGTTTCCATCATCGCCCCAAGTAGCAGGGGTGGGGGTGGGGGCGGGGGTGGGGGCGGTTCCGTGGGCTTCCCCCCCCCAGGGTCCCCAGAGGCTCACCCCTCCTCCTAGGCCAGGGGGACCTCATTCCCAGCCCAGTGTTATTTGCAGGTGGCCAGGTGACAGGAGACCCCCTCCCCAGGAAGGGAGGAGAAGGGCAGCCCCTCTGCCAGTGTCCCTGAGCCCCTCCCTCCCCCGCATTCATGGGACAAGGGCCCGGGACAGGACGCTGCGTTTCTGGGGCGCCCCTCCCGCCCCACCCTGACCCGGTGCCTGAGTCACAGCTGTCCAGACCGCAGAGTTAAAACAGCGATTTTCAGCGGCCGGTGGGGCGCAGCCCAAAGGGTCTCCAGGGGCCTGGGGGGCGGGAGGCCTGCTGGGGGGTGCGGCTGCCTTGCAGGGCGGGTCCCACCGGGAAGCCCCCAGCCTGACCCTGCCCTCCCCGGCCTGGCCTCGGCTATCAGGCGGGATTAGGGGCGAGGCTGTTTGCTTTGATGCAAATGCTGCTCTGTGGCCTTCAGAAACAAGGACGCCGCCCGCTGGAGGGTGGCGGGTGGGGTGGCGTCTCACATGCTTGCTCCTGTGTTCAGTCTCCTTTTCAAAAGCAGCGGGGGACAGTTGTTTGCACCATGTTTGGAGGCTCCCTCTGTCCGTCTTCCTATACCAGGAAGCCCAGCCACAGGCCTGGGAGCTTCTGCCCCACCAGCCCACTGCTCAGAGGCCAAAGTGCAGGGCAGAGAGGACAGCGGGGGGAGGGGTCCCTGCCAGCTACCCCAGGACAGCCCACTCACACGCCTCACACTCCCCAGCCGGCCCTTCTGGGCTCTTCTGGCACTACCCAGTCTCCGGGGCATGTTCCTAGTGACTCTGACACCAAGAAAGGTGGGGACCCAACCCCAGCCCCAGCCCTGGCCCCTGAGCCCCAACCCCAGGCCCTGCACCCCAGCCTCTGGCCCCAGTGCCTCAAATCCCCTGAACCCCAGGGCCCAGCCCCAGCCCCTGACCCTGCACCCCAGCCCCTGACCCTGTCCCCTTAACCCCGGCCCCTGGCCCCTGAGCCCCAGTTCCTGTGCCCCAAATCCCCTGTGCCTCAGCCCCTGCACCCTAGCCTCTGGACCCAGTGCCCCTGAGCCCCAGCTCCTGACCCTGTGCCCCAGCCCCTGGCCCCTGAACCCCAGCTCCTGCACCCCAAATCCCCTGCACCCCAGCCCCTGCTCCCTAGTCCCCTGAGCCCCAGCCCCTGGCCCCTGCACCCCAGCCCCAGAGCCCCAGCCCCTGTGCCCCAGCCCCTGCACCTTAGCCTCTGGCCCCAGCGCCCCTGAGCCCCAGTCCCTGACCCTGGCCCCTGTGTCCCAGCCCCTGGCCCCTGGCCCCTGTGTCCCAGCCCCTGGCCCCTGAACCCCAGCTCCTGCACCCAAAATCCCCTACACCCCAGCCCCTGCGCCCTAGTCCCCTGAGCCCCAGCCCCTGGCCCCTGCACCCCAGCCCCAGAGCCCCAGCCCCTGTGCCCCAGCTCCTGCACCCTAACCTCTGGCCCCAGTGCCCCAAATACCCTAAACCCCAGCCCCCTGGCTCCTGAGTCCCAGCCCCTGCACCCCAGTCCCTGGCCCCTGAATCCTGGCCCCTGCACCCCAGCCAAGGCACGGGGACCATCTCATTCCCCTCGTGTGGTGGGTGTTTAATGAAGTCCCCAGTGACCACTCTTCACCCGCGTGCACCTGCATCAGCACGACAAGAGGAAACACCAGCACGGCAGAGCGGCGTTAGCTCCAAATTCTGTTTATTGTCAGAACTTCACCACACTCCATGGATTTAAATGCAATTAGCTCTGTTGACATTTCGGATCAGAAAACCCACTCGTGCCCAGGATCACAAACGGTAACACCCACATTAAGAAGCAGCAGTCGCCCCAACCCAGAGCCCACGTGTGGACCCCGCCGGCATCTCAGCCTCGTCCCCTCCTCTTCCGAGGCGTCTAGATCCATGGCCCCCACTCCTGTGAAAAGTGGGGTCTCACACGGGGGCACGGTTCTGTGTTCTGTAGAGGAAGTTTCCAAAGAACAGGACATGGGGCCTCCCAGCTGCCGCCCGGCACACCCGGCCCCCCGGGGCGGCCCCCCCAGCCCAGGCTCCCCCACTCCCGTGACCCCCGGCCCCCCCTCACCCGGGCTCTGCTCTGCAGCTCCCGGCTCCACGGACACTTCCTCGACACACACACCTTACCACTTGGACCTAGAACACTCCACCCAGTCCTGCCCCCAGGACGGGGACCCGGATCCCGCAGAGGGGGAGCAGGAGGAAGCCGCCGTCCGTCCAGACGCAGGTGCAGGTGCCGGCTGGGGAGGACCTCGTCGCCCCATTTTCCCATGCCCTATACCTCTTTAGGCCAGATCCTCAAAGAAGTATATGCATAGGAAAAAGGAACAACGAGCAGCGTCTGCCGGGCGTCTCTTGGGCACCAGGACGGAGATCCTGTGGGCGTGAGGAGGGGCCGAGCCTTACCTGGGGTCCTCGGCGGAGGGCTGGGCCGCGCAGGGCCGGGCGGAGCGGCGGAGAACCCGTCTGCTGAGCAGGGAGTTCTGCTGCTGCCTGCCGAGCCCTGCATTTATGCCCGGCGGGGACCTTGGCTGGCGCTGTCACACGTGGTCAGAGGGCCGCTGCGTGCCAAGGACCCCGTCCCACCCCCGCACCTGCGAGATTGGGGCACAAAGACCTGCTCTGAGAGCGTGAGCCGGGCCCGGGGCGGGCGGTGGGCGGCGGGGCCCGCGGCCGGAGCTGCTGGCCACCCTCCTCCAGCCCTTATCTCCCCTGTGCCTCTGCTTGCGTCAGGGGCCCGGGAAATGCACGCAGGGGAGACCGGCTCGCCCAGGGAGGGGGTCGTCTCTCCCTCCCAGGCCTGCCCCGCTCAGCAGCAGCGGCCACCCGCCTGGGCCTGGAGTGGCCTGCAGGTCCAGGTAGAAGCTGGTGCGGGGCGTGAGGCGGGGCCCTGCCGGGACACAGGCCTGGTGGGGGCTCTGCTCCACTCCCAGAGCCCAGGAGCATCTACACAAGGCCAGGCAGGAGGGTCCTCGCAGGGACAGCTGGCCACAGACCTAGAGTGGTCACAGACGGACAGGAGGCCCCTAGGCCGAGGGCCCCAGGCGAGCAGCTGAGCCCTTGCAGGCCCGGCCGCCCTGGTGTCTAGGCTCCAGACACAGGAAGAAGCCCAGAGACGCCCCCCACCCGGGGGTCCGGGAGGAAGGGTCCGTCTTAACCGCAGGACATGGGGCAGGTGCGGCCGGCTGGGGAGCCGGGCTGAGGACTCGCAGCCCCCAGGCAGGAGGGGCTGCAGGGACCTGGGGACAGGCAGGGGCCCAGCAGCCCCCCAGGCAGCTCAGCAGACCCCTCTCCTCAGGGAGCCACGGTCACACCCCGTGCAGCCGTGGCCCTGGACGTCAGGCCTCGTGGGTCAGCGTGGGCTGGCTCCATCACGGCCTAGGAGCAGAGGGTAGCGGTCCTGGGTCAGGCGCCTGGGGGCACAGGAGACTCGGCCCTGCCTGGCTCTGGGCTGGACGCCCCATGAGGCCCGAGGTGGGGACCGAGGGGCTGACGGGACCCTATCCTGAGCCTCCCTCAGGGCCAGCCCCCAGTGCTGCCCCCGGGGCTTCTGGAAGATGCCGCGGAGTTGGCCCTGACCTTGGCCTACCGGCCTCCGCTCTACAAGAGGGAAGGAGGAGAGAGGCAGAGAGATAGAGACAGAGAGACAAAGAGACAGCGACAAAGAGATAGAGAGATGGCAACAGAGACAGAGATAGAGAGATAGACAGAGAGATAAAGACAGAGAGACAGAGTCAGAGATAGAAAGACAGAGAGACAGAGACAGAGAGACAAAGACACAGAGATGACGGAGAAGTAGAGACAGAGAAATAGAGACAGTCACAGAAATAGAGACAGAGACAGAGAGACAGACAGAGATATAGAGACAGAGAGACAGAGACAAACCAGAGAGACAGCCTTGTGGGGGAGGCCCTGGGCTATTCTGAGGCACCACCAAATTCTTCACTTTGTTTCCTTAAACTCTTTTTCTGGATTTTAAAACAGACACCTGCTCCTTATAAAGCACTTTAAAAACCCAGAGAAGGGGCGGGAGGAGGAGAGGGCAGCGGGCAGGGGAGGGTGTCCCGTCCCCTGCCGGCCTGGCCTGGCCTGGCCCCACCAACCGGAGCTGGGGCTGGGTGGGGGCCCCGTGGGGGGCCGGGCCCACCATGCCTTCCCACGGCCACAGGGAGCCGCAGAGGCCGGGGTGTCGTGGCCTGGTGGAGTCTGTGTCTGGAGGCCCCTCAGGCTGCCTATGGGGCTGGTCAGAGGGAGGTGGGGCCAGGGACCAGGTTCCAGTCCCAGCACCCAGGCCACAGCTCCAGGGCAGTCCTGCAACCCCCCAGGGTCTCAGCCCCTCCCCAAATGCCAGTTTGAGGGATGGACACAGGCTAAGCCTCAGCCCCGAGAGCCGAGGTCAGGCGGGGCCTCTGACAGGTGCACCCCACACGTCTGCCCCTGCTCCAAGCTCCTCCATGACTCCCCAGTGCTTTCCGTGAAACCCCGACCTGTGAGCAGGAGCACCTGGACCCTGGGGGCAGCCCCCACTCCACACGCAGATGGCTGCACAGCCTGGCTCCCCAGTCCAGGGGCCCCGGCCAGAGCTACAGGGCCAGGGTGAGAGGGTCTGAAAGCAGAGGACCCCACCCCAAGTGGGGGGCCTCCACAGTGTCCCCACCACCATCCTGGGGCCTCCTGCCTGGCTGCCTGCCCCAGGGAGACTCCTGCACTCAGGCCCGCCTGGGCAGGGACCGAGCCTGGTCCTCTCACCTCTGCAGGGGCTCAGGGGACCGTGGGGCAGAGGCCCTGCTGCTGGGTCCAGCCTAAACTGGGCACCGTGGACCCCGACACTGGCCCCCACAACACCAGACATGCCCGGGCTACCCTCCCTCTTCCCAGGAGACAGAAAGTATCCTTGTGGGCCTGGGAGGACGTGCTTGGCACGGAGCTAGAGGGAGATAGCAGTGGCCTTCAGGCCAGCTCCTCAACTCCCTCACTCCAGTCCTTGCTGGGGTGGGGGGAGGCCCCTGCAGCTGCGTCAAGTCAGACCAGACCGCAGCCCCCAGAAGGCAGCCTACCCTTAACCGTTGGGTGGGTTCCCCGGGCCGTGGTTCCTAAAGAGGGTGCCGCTGGTCTGCACAGGACACGGAGACCCCAGTCTCCACACTGCCCACTGGGGGGTGGGGACGGCTGGGAGTCAGGGGCTGGGCACCCCCTGCCGTGCACCCTGACCCACCCTGCACCTCGATCTTGGAGCCAGTGTCCTAGACTTAGCAGCTCACCGGGTCATTGTCCAACAACCTTCTCCACCCCTGAGGAGAGGCCAGGCAGGCTCTGGGGCTACTCCACAGAGAAGCCACCAAGCCTGGAGCCCAGCTGGCCAGCTCTCCTGGCCTCAGTTTCCCCACCTGTCAAAGGAGATGCTGGAATGGCACAGCCCCCTCGGAGATGGGCAGAGTCTTATAAATTAACCTGTGCCGCACCCTACAACCCGGCAATTCCACTCCCAGGGAGTTTGCCTAGAAGCAATGAAATCAGCGGGCCAGAAAAGGCTTGAACAAGAATGACCTCAAAGTGGAAACCAGTCCAAGGGATGGGCCCAAAGCCATGACTAAGGGCTCAGGGAAGACAGAGACCTCAGCCCCTCTAGAGCAGGCCTGACCCAGCGGGAAGACAGCCGCTGCAGGTGCATATGTCAAATCCCTGGGATGGGGCCCCGTGCAGTGGCTCACGCCTGTAATCCTAGCACTCTGCGAGGCTGACGCGGGTGGATCGATCAAAGTTAGGAGTTTGAAACCAACCTGCGCAAGAGCGAGACCCCGTCTCTACTATAAGTACAAATAAATTAATTGGACAACTAAAAATATATATAGAAAAAATTAGCCGGGCATGGTGGCACATGCCTACTCGGGAGGCCGAGACAGGAGGATTGCTTGAGCCCAGGAGTTTGAGGTTGCTGTGAGCTAGGCTGATGCCATGGCACTCTAGCCTGGGCAACAGAGTGAGTCTCTGTCTAAAACAAAAACAAAAACAAAAAAACCCCGTGATGCTACACCTGAGACTATTCATTCCACAGGCTGCAAACCTGGCTTCGAAAAAGCCAGGCTCAGAGCTGGCAGGTGATAGCGGGAGGCCTTCAGACCAACCCCTCAACTCCCTCACTCCAGTCCTTTCTGGGGGCTGCAGGGAGGGGTCCCTGCAGCTGTCTCAAGTTGGACCAGACTGCAGCCCCCAGAAGGCAGCCCACCCTTAACCCTGGGTGGATTATAACGCATGGTTGAAATAAATGAAACAGAAATCAATGGAGGGGCTGTGCAGTGGAGGGGGTGTCCCACTCTGGGGCAGCTGACTGCAGGCCCCCGCAGCCCTGGCCAGAAGAACACAGGACACACAGTCAGATCTGGATCTCAGAGCAGCATGGATAATTTCTCATCACAAGTGTGTCCTGTGAAATATTTGGGACATACACCCCAAAATACTCGTTGTTCATCTGAAATTCAACTTTCACTGGGTGTCCTGAACTTCCCCTTGCTAAAGGTGGCGGTGGCCCGGCACCCGGTCTGCCGGAGGACAGGGCTCAGGAGCAAGGGCTGGGCCTGGGCCTCTGCCCTCAGGGTCAGGCTCTGAGGCAGGAGCTGGGGCCTCCAGGCAGGGCGGTGTGGCCGGCGTGGCCGAGCCCACAGGCTCCTGGCGCCCTGGGCACCCAAGAGAAGCCCCGAGGGGCAGGTCCCTGGGGCCTGCGCCCCAGCCTGGCCGAGTGGGCGAGGGAAGGAGGCTCTGACCAGGCCTGGGCCCAGCAGGGCCTGGGAGGGGCTGGAGGGGCTGGTGGGCCCAGGGCTCAGCTGAGCACCCCCACCGGGCACCCGGCCTGGCGAGAGGGGAAGGAAAGAGTTAACCTGCGGCCCTGGGCCTCCCTGCTCAGGCCGCCTCAAGGCTGCCCGGTGACTCCCTCTGGGAGAGATAGTTGCCGCTTCTTGATATTTTCTTTCTCCTCTCCTGCGCCCACCCTGCTATCAGGAGCAGCCGCTGGGCCACGGGACTTCCATCTGCCCTCCAAGGCCATGGGGCAGATGGCCTGTCCAGGAACCCACCTGGACTGCAGGGGGCCCCTTGGAGCACCTGCCCCCGAGCCAGGGGACCGGCCTGGTCCCTCACTCTCACGCACACACACAGACACACACACATGCCATGCACGCCACATGCAACACTACACAGACACGCACACATGCCATGCACGCCACATGCAACACTACACAGACACGCACACATGCCATGCACGCCACATGCAACACTACACAGACATACACACATGCCATGCACGCCACATGGAACACTACACAGACACGCACACAGGCTGTGCACACCCCATGCAACACTACACAGACACGCACACATGCTATGCACGCCACATGCAACACTACACAGACACACATGCCATGCACACCACATGCAACACTACACAGACACGCACACATGCCATGCACACCACATGCAACACTACACAGACACGCACACATGCTGTGCACGCCCCATG